TTATTTTCATTGATAGGATCTCGTTCACCTCAACGTTATTTTCGTTTACGAGATCGATTTATTCGTTCATATGATTAAATAGAATTGGGTGATCAATATCAACGTGCTCACGAACTTTTATCTGATTTTGAATATATTCTCCTTCAAATTAATGGTCATTTTCTTGTCAAAGAAGAAACATTTCGTTCTGAAACACCAATTTGTGTTCATGTTGAAGATTTACCTATTGAATTTACTTATGTAAAAGAATCTTCTTTTTTTCGTTTTAAATAAAATAAAATGAAAATTCAAAATAATTCTATTTAGACTCGAATATTAACAACAACACGTCGAAAGATTGAATCATTACGTTAAATAATTCAACAAATTGAACAAGAATTAGCTCATTTATTAGTTGATAATCTTAATAATGATCCAGTTGTTGTTGGTAAGAATGATATAAAAATCAATTGATTTTAATTAAATAAATTTTAAAATAGATATTATGGACAAATCGAATCGTTTACAAAGATTAGCTCATCATAACAGATGAACATTTAAAAGAAAATCACCTAAAATGGAAAGATTTTAAATGACAATTAGAAGATGTTGAACAAGCAGCTGAACGATTTACAACTCTAGATGATTTATGTAAATAAAATAAGACTATTTTTTTGTTGTGTTTCACATTTTAATTTCATCACGATTAAGTTAACAACGTTTTTTGTTAGTACCTCGAACTGTTTATTCAAAAGCAGATGGACATCGTGATCAAGTTCAACGATTAGGTTTCATATAAAAACAAATAAATTCGTTTTTTTTGTTAGATATTATTTGAATATATTTTAGATGAATTTCAAACACTTTTTAAATCAACAATGGATCTAGATGATCAATTTAGTGATGATACAAATGAACGGTTATTGATTGATCATCGTCTTCAATCAATTAAAGAAAATTTTCAATTTTTATTTCCTAGAAAAAACCGTGAACATCGAGAAATCAAAGTAGATATTTGAAATATTTTTTTTGTTTCGAATAATATATTTTTATTTAACAGACAAATTTTATTCAAGCAGAAGATATAAAACATGCATTGTTAGATATCAATTTAAAATTAGATCATCTTGAATCATTAACTCATTGATTAGAACCTGTTGATCAAAGAGAAATAAATATAACTATTTATCGTACAAAACTTCATCGTTTTATTCCTATTCATGATCATCTTGAAATACTTCATCAACGTTTAATTAATATAAATGTCTTTTATCTGGTGATCAATTACGTATAACAAATGATTTAAAATTAATGTTTGATCGTTTAAATTTAATAAAACGAATTGTTAAAATTTACCTTGAACGTTTAGGAAAATGATTAGCTA